ACACACACACACACACATACACACACACACGCACACACACACATACACACACACACGCACTATTTTCATTCAGACGTATGTTCTTTATCTCCGTGCGGGGTAAACCCACTATGCCGGGGCCCGTTTTTAGTACTAAATCTAAAAATGACAAAATTGTCACTAAATTGGGAATTAAATCAAAACAAGAGAACTTATTTTGATAAGTCTTCATCTAATGAATGAAATCCCGATAAAAGAGAACAGTTTTTGGAAACTGTCGAAAAGTAATTTGATGTCGAAGTCGTAGAAAGGAATGCGCCCGAGCAGCGGCTCACCGGTACAGTGGTTTCGACCGCGAGCCACTGGGAGCGGCTTGCCAGAGATAAACAGTTAAAAAAATAGAAAAATTAAAAAATGAATTATTTCAATCAAGTACATTGCCACAACAGGCAAAGTTCTAAGAGAAATCATGTTGTGACAGAGAAGGGATTAAGTAATAGCAAGGTGATACCCTCCTATTCCCCTTCTTCCTCTACACCACTTCCCTCTTCTTCCTCCTCCTCATATCGGGGAAGACATAGACATTTCAGAACTTGCCCACACAAAGCAGATTCTAAAATATATATCTGTTAGCCATCAACTTACTGTAACTGTACTTCTAAGATTTCAATGCCCCTTTCAAAGCTGAAAGATTATCTAGGAGGCAGTAAGTCCAAATTTAATATCCATCTCCAAAATTACCACCTTGAAAACTCTCAGCCAAAGAATTCAGGCAGACCCCATTCGAGATTTGAATCAACGCCATCCGTACCATGATCCAGCATGATAATGATATCAACTGAGTTAATAAAGTCAGTTCTGTTTTAGCAAGGTTTTACTGCGCTCCCAACAGCATAAGGTCATATGAGCACCAAGGGGTGGATGTCAACAGAGAAATCCAAACGGGGAATCAGGCTTATGCTGCTCACATCTCTAGCATCAACAGCACAAAGTCTGCTTCCACTATCAAGGCACCCCGGAAATTGCAGTTCACAAGAAAGTGACAAACATACAAAAGAAGTAGAGGAAAATTGACGATGGTAAGGATGAGAAAATAAAAAGCAGCAGTTCCCCCTATGTTGTTCCGGCACAATATGAACATATTGATAAATCAGCCCATTTACAATGTTACCGTGCATAAGAACATGTTAATATCCCCCCTTTGGGAAAGACCAAAAAGACTTAATAAAGTGGAGAGACACACAACATATCAACATACCACTCCGGTAGCGTAGGCCGTTCCCACATTACCGCGGCTACACTGGGAGATATTCACGATGAGCACGCCCCACTGACACGCTTCCTTGAACAGCGTCAACAGGTCGGTCCGGTTGTTGGGCGCGTTCCCAGCTCCGTACGTCTGTAGCACTACACCCTGGACCGGGGGCTGGAGGAACGCTCGCACCTGGACAACATGGATGTTGGAAAGACAAACATTATGTGTCACTATCCTTTCACTATTATTTTAGTTTTGGTATGAGTTTTACCACACTTGCAACACAAATTGGTCATAAATTTTAGTTTTTCTTTAGTTTTAGTAAGTATTTTACGGCACTTGCAACTCAATAAGGCCATATATAAATGCTGAAGATTATAGGTGTTACAAGAGAGTAACAAACACAAAAAAGAAGAAGGGGAGATAAAGATGATAGATGTTTGATAGGAAAGAAGAAGCAGACCACACCAGAGCACCCGCCAACCACCCACTAGGTCATAAATGTGCTGATGAAGATTAGATGTGAAACTATAAGAGAGTAATACCCAGTGCCTATTGACGCAATCAGTTTGATTCGGTTCGCTAGCCAGATTGAGGGCACAAAGCGGCTATCGTGGCACAATCCAATCGCCCAACTCATCGCCTAAAAAACAAACGCATTTGTTTTCAGGTGAGGAGTCGGGCGATTGGTTTGGCGATCAAGAAACTGATTCCCCCAATGAACAATCTGAAAAACATTTAAAGAAAAGAAGAAGAGATAAGGATGACAGATGGTTTTTTTCTTTCTTTTTTTGGTTAGTGTTTTACGGCACTTGCAACTGCATAAGGTCATAGGAGTGCACAGGACACATTAAGCATTTTCAATTCGGTAAGAAATTTGAATTTTTGCCGAGGTGGCAGTCAAAGACTACTCTTATCGATTTTAGAAGTATCAAAGGATCTTTAGAGTACACAACTTGCTCACGTGACCTTCAAGATTTTTCTGCCCTTATTCAAGAAGGCTAGGTGTTAGATCTTACCTGCCCTGAGAGAAAGCAGTGGGAAGGAGCCAAGAAGTAGCAATAGAAAGACAGCAAAAGAGTCAGAAGCCCAGAAGAGGGGGCAAAGAAAGGGTTTGGGGGGGGGGGGGCAGAAAGTGGAGATGAAACCAGATGACAGAACAGATCAGACAGCAGGAAAGGAGATGAAAAAGGAGAACCTTTTAAGGAAAAAAATTTTCTGTTGCTGTCAGGTTTCGAACCTGGGACCTGTAAAATGAGAGACGAACACCGTATCTCGAGACCAGGAGAGCCCCCGACAGATGCTTGACAGGAAAGGAGAATACCACACTAGAGCACCAGCCAACCACGCATCCATATTATATCAGTTATCATACTACTACCATCATCACTACAACTATTATGAAAATAATAAAAATAGTAATAATAATAATAATGATAATAATAATAATAATAAATAATAATAATAATAATAATAATAATAATAATAATAATAATAATAATACTCCAACTGGAGCTCAGTCCTATAACTGGCGAGCATGGAAACATGAATACTGCCTTTGTAAAATTCATAGTGGTGTGATACATAAACACGTGTATCTAAAGACAACTAATTACTTGTAAAATAAGTGCAAATATGTGCGTGTGTGTGTGTGTGTGTGTGTGTGAGAGTGTGAGTGTGTGTGTGTGTGTGTTTGCGGGAGAGTGTATTTCTTTGCGTGTGTATGTGAGTATGTGCCTGCGTACGTGCATGTGAGTATGTGTGTGTTTGTGTGTGTGTCTGTTTGCATGTGCATGCGGTGTGTGTTTGTGAGTGTGCTTGCAATATTTATTCCGTACTTAACTTAAGCTACAGAGAGCGACAGACAAGCAGCGGCGGATGGGAAAAGAACAGCCAAAAAAAAAATGCGTGAGAAAGAAAAAAAACCCGGGGTCTAGGGGATGATAGTAGAAGAAGATGAAATAGAGAGTGCTGAGGAAGAGGGTTAGGACCAACGAAAAGAGAAAGTGCGTGAGGAGGAAGAAGTGGGGGAAAAGACAACTGAACGCGAGACAGTTCCGGGGAAGTAATCACGGGTTAAGAAGAAGTATACATCATTGTACCGTTTACATCCCCTTGTACGTGCAAGCAACCCAGAAATAAAAATTCATGTAATAATAATGACGTTCTGATGGAGCTCTTTTGTTTTAGCATAGGTTTTACTGCGCTCGCAACTGCATAAGGTCATATGAGCGCCAAGGGGTGGGTGTCAACAGAGAAGTCTTTACAGGGAATCAGACTTACTCCTCTCACCTCTCTAGCCTCAACAGCACAAAGTCTGCTTCGACTATCAAGGCACCCCGTAAACAGCGGGTCACAAGAGTGTGACAAACATACAAAAGAAGTACATGTAGAGGAAAATGACGATAGTAAGAATTAGGAAAGACAAAAGCAGCAGTTCCCTGTTGCAGCTCAGGCACAGTTGTGAGCATGACATTGATGAATCAGCCCATTTATGATTACAATTCTACTGTGCATAAAAACATGGTTAATATCCCCCCCCCCCCTTTAAAAAAAAATTTAGTATAGGGTTTTACGGCGCTCGCAACTGCATAAGGTCATATGAGCCCTTTCGGGAAAGGCCTAAAAGCCTTTTCAATCAGTAGCACCCCCACGGGGGGGGGGGGGGGGGGGGGGGGGTGTCCTGATAGGGATAATCGGAAACTTCATAGGATTCTTCTTACTATGACTAGTCTACTTCTGAACAATCTTACCGTGAGTTTTATACACTTTACGCTCTTTCGCGTTTGACGTTAAAAAAAATTACATGTCTGGTTTTAAACAAAGCCTTTTTTATTTGAGTATCAGTATGCATCACACATGTAGGCTATATATTAATTTAAAAACACACACACACACACACACACACACACACACACCCACACACACACACACACACACACACTCATTTATTTTATGTCTGCGTAGGTGATGACGGGCGCATGTGCAGGGTACACGCGTGCGTGTGTGTGAGCACGCTTCTCACAAATGACGACACCTCTTCGTTTTTGTCTGCTCAAACCGATGCAACTTTAACCCTATCCGTACGCCCTGAGGTAATTTTGTACTCCCGGGCGGGGTTGTATTCTTCACATTTTAGAATACTTCTGTTGCGAAGATTTCTTTGAAACAGTATTTCTCAAAATATCATTTTGACAGACTGTTACGCAAAGCGTACGGATTGGACTAACGATTAAAATTCCTCTTTGGAAAGTGGAGGCACAGAGTTTCCCACGTTGTATGGATACAATAGTAAAACACAACGTACGGATAGGGTTAAGAAATCCTGGACTTCATGCATAGACTTGTACACTGACCTCCTAGATCAAGTACTTTGGCGTATTTAATTTCCTGTTCACAATAGAGCTCACCATTTGATTTGTTATTCTAATACTTTCTTTCCCTTTCACATTTTTCCTATTATGTGCCCATTTTCTATTACATATTGATGCGCTGAATACGAACATTGACTTCATTTTCGTTCCAAATTAATAGTGAAAAAATATTTTATGGTAAATAAGGGAATTTCAGCACACTAAGTCTAATTGCGTAGTAATATCCGCGCTTTGGACCAATCGGGGAGGTTTCAGGGTGGCATGCCCCCCTGAGGAGGGGGGGGGGGGGGGTCCAAGGAGGAATGCGAGGGGAATGCCCCCTGTTTTAACCTATAATTTGAAGTTTTGCAGTTAGGTTTGGAAATTTCTTGAAAATAATTGATTTGCAACAGTTTCAGCGGCCACATGTGTTATCTTGCAGCAAATGACACTGCAGTTTGACCCTCTAAAGCAGTGCATCTGTGAGCGGGAGTGAAAGCAACAACAACAACAACAACAACAACAACAAAAAACCAAAAAAACAACGTTTGACTCATTTTGAAATTATAAGCGAACGGCGCGGTCGGAGAGGTGGCTCGAGCACTCACTCATAGCGAGACTGGCATTTTGTCCTTCAGGTAGGCGCAATGTCGAGCACATTATGCACAAACAGCGCAGCGAAGTTTTTCGAGACGAGAGCAAAAGACCGGCAGCCATGACAGTGGGCGATCTGGGTAGGAGAAGGCATCGCGTCTTCGGTTCAATCTTATTCCACCCACCACCCCTCCCAAGCTTTTACAGTTTAAAATTCTGCTCACGGACAGACAGCGTAGCACTAGACCGGAAACCAACACGCACCTGGACACTGGTTTTTCTTTCCTTTTAGAAACTGCAAATTGTTAATATTAACCATGATTTACACACTGGAACCTTCCCCGGAACCCCCCTCTCTCTCTCTCTCTCTCTCTCTC